TGTTCCTCTTCCTCCGGTGCTGCTCCAGAGAAAGGTCAGCAAAACCACTTACAATTTGTAGAGAAAGAAGGAAATTAAATGGGGGGGGGAAGGGAAGTCAGCTGCAAAACTTGCCATCGCCATCCCGGCTCCCTTGGACGGAGGACTGCAACCTATCTCAGGGATTTCACCAGGACCTGGTCCATGGGTGCCCTAGAGCTGCATCGCTTTTGTAGGGACAAGTGGGACCAGACTGTGTTTAAAAGTTGTCTTTATGTTACTGACAGAAGAACTGTCCAGGGCTGCACTGGTGCACGATCCCACCGGCTAGCACAGAAACGCCACCTCACAGCAGGAGCCTGCAGACCATCTTACCTGGCTCCCTGCATGTTCAAACAGTGCAAAGCTCATACGAGTGTCTAAAAAAACCACCTTGCTTTATCCTCCCACATTGGCCGGTGCTCCTTTAAAAAGAAAATTAAAAAAAAAAACAAACTGCTGAGGAGTCAAACAACTTCAATCTGATTTCCAGGGCTGTAAACTGTATTAGTAATGGGAGCACTACTCTGGTTTAACGGCAAATTATATGTTTTGCCTCAAAAATTAATTTTTGTTTTTTCCCCCTTCTCTATTGGTAATTGTAATCTGTCAGCTCACTCCCACACACGTCTGCACGTTTTATGCAACTCTTGATACTTGTAGCTGTCGTTAAAGAAAACCTTTCAGGTTTAAACGATGACACATCTGCGTGAGTTCAATGAAAAGGATCCATTTGCAGTTTGGGGAGATTTGCAGTGCTTGGCCAGCTCCCAGCAGAGGGCTCACCAAAATACCACATTACAACAATTACCTTGTCAAGCACTTGGGAACCAGAGTGCCGGCTGGAAGGATTTTACCCTGGATTTAAGCACGCACACACTAAAGCACATGCAAACAGCCAAATACACCTCTGGCTTGGTCCTGCTTTCAGACAGCCTCTGAACAGAGGGTGTGTAAAAATACTTCAGGACTAGCCCAGGGAGCTAGTGTGCCTGACAGGTGGCCCAGCAGGAGAAAATAATCTGCGTTACTCTATGAAGTAGATTGGGTCCATGTTAACAATCCCTGTCAAAATGAAGGTCCTGTCAGCTGATTTAATTTAATTTACCCTACCTTAATTTACTTTTGGAAATGAGCTAAATAAATAAATTGAATTATGGCTACTTTAACTCTGAAGGAGCATATCCACATAGGATCTTACTGTGGTTTCACTAATCAGCTTTACATTTACACCCTAAATGTATTTGGATTAGCTCTCACAGGCATTCTCATATAGATAGGCTTGGAGATACCCACCTGCTTTCCTTTTCCTTCCTTGGGCTTGTTGCTCTGAGGAAGCCAGGGCTCGGTAAGCAGATTTACAGCATCTGTGTTATTTCATGCCTCACCCCTGTCTGGACTTTCCCTGTATTTCTAAAAAGCAGGACAGAGCACTCTGCTCTGAAAGCAGAGACAACTGCTATGTGTGGGGTAGGTTGACATGGGTAATGTCTGATGTACATAACATGTTAATCCTAATATCATATTGCTAACTTGAACAAGCTCAAGAGACTGTTGTTTTTCTGCTACATCTCATCAGGTAAGTGCAACCCATTATTCTCCTGCTGCTCCTTAGGAAATAGAAGGACAGGAGACAAGACAAAACTTACTCCCATCCTCTCTGCAGCTTCCTGCTCCAGGGTCAGTAAAGATATACAACGATGGCTGGGTCTGAGCCACGTGCATTGCTTGTAATTGTGGCTACTTCTCCTTCTCTTGTGTGATAACGTAGTTCCAATTATTCCTGCCTCTGTGCACTGTCTCCTCGGTGAAGCAGGTGTGCCTTGCTGCAGTGAGCTGGGGAAGGAGGGCAGGAACCAAGGGATGGATGACAAGTAGCAGGATCCCTTCTGTGGCAGAGGGAGAGATATCTGCAAGCCCTCCTGGGGAGCAGGCTCTAATATGCTTTCTCTATAAGCAGCACAGACCAGCCGCTGCATTCAGAAAGGCAGGCCCACAGGGTATGGACCTGATGAGATTTCCAGATAGTGCTGGGATTCTCCATGCACCACGTTTCTGGGCCATACAAACCCCATAATCTGCTCTAATAGGTGGGTGGTCATCTGGCAAGCATGAATTTGTGCTCACTTTCTGGAAATAGGCACTGGTGACTGCTTGGAAAAAAGAAAAAAAAAAAATCAAGCCTGTGGTAATGGCTGAGGACTTCTGACCTTTGCTCTAACATTTCAAATTTGTTTTTATTGCTTCTAATTGGCCTTGCTTTGGAGCACACACATCATCTAACTGCCAGGACACTGGCTGTCACTATCTGCTGGGCCATTTGATTTGTGTTTTTTATGTTTGAAACTTGTCAGACATTCCCAGAAAATACTGCGCTCCTCTTGCAGTGTCAAATATGGGCCTGGTTTAACTGTGCATCCCTGAGAGTGAAGCATTTGAAGTAATCAGGCATTGATTGTTTAGCTGCGATGCACGCAATGGAAACACGTCTCTTCTGTATGTAGGGGAAAGTGTAAAAATTAGATCAGCAGCTACATGACAGCAGCCAGATTTCTTAGTTTCAGGGATCAGAGGTTAGCCATTTTCCAGCCTTGATGATTCATTTTTGATCCCACTCATGTGGCTTGGATAACTTCATTTTCTCCTCCCTTTGCAATTTAAACATAAATTCTCTTCTATTTTGGCCCTCTTTAATACACCAGCTGCAACGTCACTAATTAGAATCTATTGCTCCCCACCTCAACTTGCTTCACCGGATGGAAACAAAAGTCAAGAAATGGGTGTGTGAAAGAGCTCAAAATGCCACAGTGGCACAACCGTGCCTATGGCAGTGGCTTTGTAAAGCTCAGCTCATCTAAAACATTAGCCTGGTTTGTAAGTCTGCTGATTCACTTTAAGACCTTTAAGGTTTAAGGTTTCCTAACAATTAGAAATCCAGATACAGTTGTTTTAGGTGTGAACATGTACACTAAATTTGGAGTAGACGTATATAGGGCTTGTCTTCCTGCAGATGGGCTGAGAGCGCTACAGGAAGCAATAGGAATATCCCCATTTTGCAGAATGTAAAAGAGAGCATCGACGGAAACAGCAAGATGTTAGACCTCAACGTGAATTATGCATCTGCTGTATTTAGATAGAAGCAATTTTGCTGTTGAAATCAGAGGTTGGCATTTTTTTCCCCATGGGGTTCTGTAACTCAAAATTGTGTTGAGATCAAGCATGTAGTGGGTTGGGTTTTTTTTAGCTGTAAAGGTGAATGTATTCAGATTATTCAAGTGGTGATTTTTTGGATGTACAATTAGTTGACTGAGAGATGTGGTATAAATTTGGTATTGTAATTGCTACGCCTCTGAGATTTCAATTTGCAAAGCAGTTTGCATGGCTGCAAGATTAACTGTTGTATGTGCGATGAGCAGAGTTGTGATTTGATCATGACTGTCTGTCAATTGGCTGTATGTCCAAAAAATCACTTTGTCGCAAGTACTTGATGTGAACAGAGTGGTTGATACTCATGATGCTTCAGTTCAGTGGATGCCTGGATGGCTGCTAAAAAAGGCCAGTGTCTAAAAAATCCCACTTGTAAGTGCTGTTGGTTAGACAGGATTTCCTTTTTCTGTGTTACCCAAATCATGAAAACGGAAGGAGCTTTAAGATCCATTTTTATCCTCTTTGCATGTTTCATGTTATCTCGTTTCCTTCACTTGCAGAGAGGATAATGGGAACAACATTCAGCAGCACTGCTCTAGTGGACTGGACGAGTGGGTGCAGAGAGATCAGTGTCTGTACGGAAGAGCCAGCCTTGGTGCGGGCAGGAGCCGAGCCCTGCCTGCTCGGCTGTGCCCCTCGGAGCAGGCAGGCAGGCTGTCAGCAGTGACACAGGCAGTGCTGCTGCAGCCCCAGGGCAGGGAACGGATTGACTGGCTGGCTTTCATATGTTTTGCATGATTCTCCATTTGGTCCACAGCTGCTGCTGTGTTTGGGTCTCCAGCGTTGTCTAGGAACGTGTCAATGTAATAGTACATAGAACCGCTTGTTCTCACTTCAGCGTGCCTTTCAGGTCTTCCTCCCAGGGTCCTAATTTATTTATTTTTGTCTCAGTGTTTATCTCTTCAAAATACCACTGTGCCTTAGGTTGGCGATTGAACTGTAGAGATGCAGTAGATGCTGAACTGGTGGCAGCTGTGACAGCAGTGAGGAGGGGAGGGCTGGTGGAGGTAAAGCCCTCTAAGCCCTGTGCCCCATCAGCCCGTACATTATTTCAATTTTTTAAAAATGTATTTTAAATTTATTTTAAAACCTCCTTCTGCTCCAAACAATGGTGACAACTAAGGTTTTGCATGACTGTTAGACAATTGGAGTTAACGGGCACGGAAAAATAGCAGTATCCCATCAGGCTCTTTGAAGGCACTGGTCTGGATGCTGGACACTGGCATGATGTGTCGGGTGATGGGTGTTCCCCGCCACGCAGTGGGAGTCTGTCACTTAAAGAGTTTGGCCCCAGCTGTGAACACCCTTGGCAGTGGGGGCAATCCACTGGTGAGCAGACCCATGAATACAGCTGTCCTGTGAACGGTATATACCCCAGAAGGAAATATTCACAGTGATACGAGGGCTGTTAATGAGCAGAAATGAAGTGAAACATTTCGTGCGTGTGGGGGCTGCAGCGAGGAGAAAACAGTGGTAAGTGCATTAGCCCAAAGGGAAGCAGTGGGGCCCTCCTCTTGGAGAGCTCAGAGGTAGCGCAAAGCCCTTGAAGTCTCCTGGAAGGACTAACCCTGCTCTGGCCAGAGGAGGATGGGACCAGCTGGTCTTTAACCACCTCTAATTTGTCTCGAAATGCCAAAGCCTTCCTTGCAGATGCACTTCACTGTGAGACTTTACACATGGCTTCTCCTCGGAGCACACCCCACACACGGTTTACCTGCTGCTGAAACACCGCAGCGTTTTACAATACCTGTCCTCTCTCTCTCTTCCTTTGGCAGGAAAGAAAAACTGCCGCTTTTTAAATGCACTACCCAGCGGGGCCAAGGGAACAGCCATGCTGGCGGCAAGCCAGAGAAGAGGAGCCAGGCGCATCTGAAGGACCAGTCTCTCTCCATGCGATGAGAGGAGAGGAGGCTGGTCTGTGGGGTGAGGTGGAGGAGCACGTCTGGATCTGGTACTGATGATGTTTCTCTTTTTTTCCCAGACAAGTATTTCTAAGATAACAAATAGTCCAAGGAGAAAAGAGGGAGAGGGAAATTAGCTAGAAATTTTATTATTGATTCTTTTTTTTATTTATAGATGGTAAATCAATTTCAGGGCTTTTTTTTCCTTTTTTTTTTTTTGTCTTATCTCTGGGAAAAAAAGAGTGACTCAATAGATTTACAGAAATCATTTGCGGTAGCTGAAAAGCTATTTGTTAGAATGAGAAAGCCTCCCCTTCCTCCACCAGCCTCTCTCTCTCTCTCTCTCTTTAAAGGGGTAATCCATACGATGAGCTAACGAGGGAGTCCTGGCTCCCCTGCTGCACCATGTGATGTATCCCCTTTTAGTGTCAGGCTCAGAAGCTCTTATGCCAATTGCATGTGCTAGCCCTGTTAGCTTGCATTAAGAGAGCCTGATAAATAGCTTCTGGGAGTCAGGCAGGTGCTCCTCAGTGTGCCGTTTATCATCCGCTGCATGGTTAGGTTTTCTGCTCTTCTATCAGATCATTTGAGGAAAGGGGTCACATGAGAAATGTTACTGTCAGGCTGCAGGCATGAAACTCACTGCCAGACCTGACCAGGGAGGTACCATGGTCCTCCAGCAAAAACTGGTTGGGGTCTAGAAAGACTGGACTTCCCAACAGATGTACAACTGAGGCAATGTGAGCTAGGGGTAGTGCTGAAAGGGATGAACAAACAGTGCTGTGCCACTACTGTAAGAAGTCCCAGGTAAAACTTCACCATCTTCCCATTACATGGACAGCATGTGAAATCTCTGCTCGAAGCCACCGTCACTAGGCAGTCTTGTCTCCTGTCTTGTGTGACTAATTGAAACATCTGCCAGCGATGTGGATTTGAAGCACGAGGCTGGTGGCTCTCAAACTGGAGAGTAAAAGAGGGTGACCCTGAGGGGAGTCCAAGTGTCTCCCAGGGGATGGGAAGGGAGAGTGCACTTAGAAGTGCCTCTTGCCAACCGATCAGAAGACTCAGAAAGCAGCTTCTTTTTACTGTCTTCTGCTAGGAGTTAGGCTGCAATGGTGGCTTGGGGGAGAGAAGGTGCCAAGACCCAGCGGATAGAGAGGGGAAGGATGAACCAGACTGGGACTGAACAAAGACGTGTGAAACAAGACTGAATGAGCTCCTCTTGGTGTGGGGTGGCCTTGAAGAAGTAGTAGCCCTAGACACGCTGTTCTCTAGTAAAAGAGCTGGGTTGGTTGCTCCTCTCCTTTTTCCCAGGGCTTGAGTGCCATGATCTAGGAACAGAGTCAGACTCAGCTAGGTCCTCGCTCTGGCCTGTGTGTGAGAAGAACACATCCTGGGGATAAATGAAAAGGTATGAGAAAAACTGAGAATTATAGCCTAAAATAGACCTTCCAGGTAACTTAAATTTACTGTCCCTCATGAAAGTACGCTGTGATTCTTCAGCAATGGAGACCTGGCTGCAAGGCCTGAGCGTGGCCGACACTGAACAAAGGTGTGATCCTAGGAAAAACTGAAAGCAGCTTGGGTTGCATTTATGCAGCGAGGAAGCTAGTAGGCCCTCATATGTGCTCATCTGACTTTGAATACAGTTCCCACATCTATGACTCGATGGATAGAAGGGAGCTCTGTGTAAGGTCCTTGAGCTCCTTTCCATACAAGTAAACACAAAGCAAGCACGGTCAAGGCTGAGGTCTGCGTTCTGTGTCTCAGGACCTCACAGGCACTTCTTGGAGCCCCATCACAACAGACCTCCTGGGAGCAACTAGCACATGGTTTCCATCCAGGTAGCATTACTGCAGCCAGAAAGAGTGAGCAGGTACAAGTCAGGACAAAAATTTGGCTTTGCATGCCTCTGAAAAAGGACAAGCTACTCAGGATCTGACAAAACTTGAGCTGATTGTGTCTGTGCATTAGCCACCCGTTAGCTGGGCTTTCATTAGTTAGTTAGTTTGTCTCTGATAAGGGGAACTTGGTTGAAAACAAGAAAGAAATATCCCACTGGAAGGAAAATGATTTAAAACACCAAGCAAACCTGATAATGTCAGTATTTCAAGGTGAGGGGGTTAAACTGTGCACATTTTTAGGGGGAATAAAATGCCTTCATATGATGAATTCCAAGGCATCCAAAAGGCACAGTGCTGGCTCTCTGTCTCCAAAAGCAGAGTAATGAATAGCAGTGACAGTGCGATAATTAAAATGACCTCTTGAAGATATGGATTAGAAGGTATGCAGAGGGGGGATAAGTTCTCCTTTGAATTAATCTAGTGTTAATTTATGACTATCATTGGGTTTTATCGGGTTTTAGTGGAAGACTTTCAAAGTTGGTTTACTGGGGTGATAATGTTCCTTCTGCATATTCATTGGAAAAACACTTGCAGAATTACTCATTATTTCTTTTTGAATGGTTCTATATATACATATCTATCTATATATAATGAGAGAATTTCAGGTATTTGCTTAGCTGGTGTTAATTTATGACTATCATTGGGTTTTATCGGGTTTTAGTGGAAGACTTTCAAAGTTGGTTTACTGGGGTGATAATGTTCCTTCTGCATATTCATTGGAAAAACACTTGCAGAATTACTCATTATTTCTTTTTGAATGGTTCTATATATACATATCTATCTATATATAATGAGAGAATTTCAGGTATTTGCTTAGCTGCTAAAGAGTATACTCTAGAAATATGAATAAAGTGATAAAAGCAGCTGTGGAATGAGTGTTTTGTTTCATTTTCATTCCTTTCTCCTCACAGGCCCGCAGAGTCACTTCAAAACCAAGATGTGGACAAGCGAGTTCTGGGAAGCCCTTGTGCTGCCCTGCGCTCAGTTGTCTGAGGCTCCTGCTATCTGACTTGTAAAAGTCGGTCTTTTAAGTTTGGATTTAATAATTGGATCTTCCTGGAAATCACTGTCTCCGCTTCTTACTTGTCTCCTGCCACCCATACCTGCCCCACAGCCTGCAATTTCCAGGTCTTAGCATAGACCTAATGTAGAATGCTCATCTCTGCCAGAAATGCTTCCTTTCTGCTGAGATATCCCAAGCTTTTAGTTGGATAGAAAGGACAGATTGGAGACAGTTACCCATATGGGAAATGATGACATCCCATTTGTCAATTCCCATGCTGGTAACCTTCTTCCCATTCTTTCCACCTGCCTAGCAATACCATAACATCCAAACATAAGGTTATCTGCCAAGAGCATCTGCCTAGCTCCTCAGTCGGGCAGCACGCCCGTCCTGGGGCCCGCCCTCCCCATCCTTGTTCCAGCACATCATGTTCAAACTCTTTGCTCTTGCCTCCCATTTCACACCTGTCTCAGTTTGTCTCTGGCACCTTCTGGTCCACCCACAGCCACAGCTGCCCCAACCCATTTTTTTCACCCTGAGATCCCGATCACGTCTCCTCTGAAACCTATAGGCAGAGTTGACTCTATCATGCTTTCTCCAGAGATCTACCTCTGTTTTCAGGGTTCATCAATAAACCATGTTTCTTGAAAGCTCTCCCTGACTGGCTAGGGATGGGAGCCGGAGCCTTTCACTGCAGGCTCTTTGCTAGCTTGCATGATGAGGGCTTACACTTTGGTGTGGCAGAGTGTGTGTGATGTGCACACGCCATTTCACAAATGCTTGGGGAGAGTATCATGGGAGCTGAAAATGAGAGACCTTTTGCTCCCAGTCTCTAGTTCACTTTCCTCCCACATGAGCACTGAGGTCCTTTTCCTCCATCTGAGCAGACAGATCCTGCTTCAGAGCCTACTTCTGGCCTGCCATGAGCCTCTTCTTCCTGGAGAAGATGATCTGTGACTCAGACGTAAGTAATGCACGTTGTACACTCAACAAGTAATTCTTTACTAGTCACTTGTGTCAGGTTCAAGGTAAGGTAACACCAGGGATTTTGAAAGGTTCAGAAGCCAATATGGGTCCAAAACTGGGCATCTAATTTGTCAAAGTGGTATTTACTCTTAAGGGCAAAGGCATATGTTTATCTGAGCACAAGTGGAGGGCTCTTCTTGTGGGGAGACTGGAGCCTCGTTGCATTGCCCTGCCTGCTTCCACTCTCTGCTTGGGGAGCTGGAGGGCTCTTCCTTGGAGCAGTAGCAATGTGTTTACCTCCCTTTGTACAGGACTGGATGACGAATATTAAAATGCTGAAATTAACTTGTTTTCTGTGCATTCTGCTCTCCTGACAAGAAAATCCCGCTACAAACCCCTGTGCAGGCAGTCTAACTGCGCTGAATTGGACCCTTGCTGTGAGGGGATTATATATTCTGATTGGGGATGCGTTTGCAATTATTTTCTCTGCCACACCAAAGACCTTTACTGCAGAGCTGCAAACCAGTTATAGGAACATGAAATGCTTTGACTTCTTCACTAGGGAACCATTAATCCAATCACAGGTTATGTCCATTACAGACTACGGCAATATTGTATACAGGAATTCCCAGGAGAAGGTTCTACAAAAATTGGAATCTCTCTGTAACCATGTTATGAGATTTACTGGTGTGGATAAAATGGGCAGAGTTAAAATTACCAGGCTGGCTATCTCTAAAAGACAGGTGAAGTCTGCTGGCTATCATTGCTTCATAATATTACAAATGGAAAAGCCCTGAAGTAATTGAATAACACATCTGCTGAAAAAAACCTTGTGAACTGCTATAACCTAAAGATAGACTGCAAGGAAACAATGTATGTACAGCGCCCGGTTAAAAGGAAAAAGATGCTTTCCTTACCTGCTGCAGGAAGATACCGCAAATGCAGATACAGATTCTCTCTTTGCCTCCTAGATTATATGCGTGTGTGTGCTTTATATACATATGTGTGTGTGTGTTTGTGTGCTTTATATACATATGTGTGTGTGTGTGTTTGTGTCTGTCTATCTCTTTTCATATAAAATAAGTTAAACTAGTTTCCTCAGCAGTCGGAGGCATGGTGCTGGAT